TATCTGAAATCGGACGTCGAATCATTAATTCACCCCCTCAATATCTAAAATTCCAAACCCGATTTTTATAGACAAAAATCTTGCAATTTCAATAAAGAACCGGTCAAACTAAATAATTCCTAACAAAACCAATAGCAATGACTAAATTAAGTAATAGCGAGTAATTGCAAATAATTACTAACCAAGAGAAAAAGTCATCTAAGAAGAAAAAAAACAGGTTTATTAACCGAAATTAAGGATTTAGAAAATAACTAAGAACCCAAAGATTACCTGAAAAAGGGATGATAAAGCCGAACAATAATTAAAGGAAGATTAATTATTTATTGGTAGTCAGAACAGAAACTGAAGTCCAAATCATTCAACTGCTGCCCTTAAAAAAAGTGAAGCAAAAACTAAACCGAGTTTAATTAGAGATCTCGCCAAATCCATAACTATCAAGCGAGAAAAAAAATGATAACAACTGAAGCTTCAAAATGGCTGGATAAAAATTATCCTAAGAATGGGGTTTGTATGCACAAAGGGGGAAATTTTGGTAAAAGAAGGAGAGAAATTACACACTTAGACATTTCGTGTCATAATCGTTATGGGTTATATAAATTAAAAGGCAAAATAGACTTAGAAGATTTTGTAAATTTAGTCGAATTACGGTGCACTAATAATAAGTTAAATGACTTAATGATTGATAATTTAATTAAGTTGAAAATAATTAATTGTTCTGGTAATGAATTTGGCCGTTTAGATTTCGAGGATTTTCCTGAACTTGAAGAAATTGATTGCACTAATAATGAAGAATTGACTCGTTTGACACTAAAAAATTGTCCTAATATTGAAGTAGTAAAATGTCCTGTTAATAGATTAACTTTAAAAATAACTGGTTGCTATAGCCTCAATGTTGAACAATATTCAGATGGTAACAAGATAAAGGATTTATATATAAATAATGATGATGTAAAAGAGAAAGAAAGGTTAAAAAAGGTAAATAATCAATTAAAGCAGAGAATAACTGAATTAGGGAAAATAATAACCGAATTAGAAGAATTGCCGGTTATAAGTAAAAAAGACATACTAATAATTGGTCGTACCGGTAGTGGAAAGTCTACTTTGGCTAATGTTTTATTCAATAAAAATGATAAATTTGAAGAAGTATTTAGAGAAGATTATATTTCAGAAAGTGTAACTACCCAATTGCAAGTGGAAGAAACAAAAATAAATGGAATGAATTATCGGATTATTGATACAGTAGGCTTCGGAGATACTGGCACTGTAACTGGAGATAAAGCGGTGTTGGAAGCAGTAAAAACTACGTATGCAGTTAAAGAGGGAATAAACCAAATTTTATTTGTTGTTGGTAGGAGGAGTGACATCGATGAAAATGCAATAAGGTTTTATAACTCATTAAAAAAAGAAATTTTTGGTGAAAATATTTTTAAATACACAACGATTGTTCGCACTAATTTCGAACCTTTTGCTGATAAAAAAAGACGTGATGAAGATATCAAGGCTTTAAAGAAAAACAAATTAATTTCTGAATTGGCAAATTCATGCAATGGGATTATTCATGTAAATAATCCATCTTTAAAAGTTCGGTTAGGCAATATAACTGAGCATCGCAAATTTCGGGCAGAATCACGTAGGGTATTAGAAAATCATTTATCTGCTTGCAAAAATGTTTATCGGCCTAGTAAATTAAAAGAGGTAGTCTGTAAACTTGATCGAGAGTTAGATATTAGAGGAATTGATTTTAACAAGCAATTAATTGGATCTAATTTCTCAGTAAGGTTAGAGGATATAGTGGAAATAGCAGACACTTGTATGCCAATTGTTACTGCACTAATGCAGGCAGCATTAGCTCACTCTTGCCAAATAACCTAACGTTTTCTGTTACTCTTTCCTAACCAAATAATAAATATGGGTCAAATTTAAATCGGAGCATGTTGGTAGTTTCTTTGCCACTATCTTCACCTTTCTCTGGAAAACTACTTTCCTATTTTAAATGCCTCTTCGCTATCATATCCATAGAAATTAATCATCAAATCGTCAAATTATTTAACTTCTTGCTTATCCTTACAAATTAAATTGTCGTAAAATATTAATATTAATGATTTTTTCAAATCATACTATTCTTTGGAAACACCCATAGACTTTTTGACAAATCCTGATACAAAATATTTTCATCCAAGTTAAAAAAGGTCGGAGTAATATTGTTACAATTTAGATAATAAATACAGTAGCATAGTCGTAAAAAGTTTTGAAAGATACATAACTTATATTTTTTTAGAAACCGTTTTTATTTTGATATATAACTTAAAATTTCTTTTAGACTAGAATAATATCGATATTAGTTAAGAGTAATTGTTTGTTGTATTCTTAAAAATTATTTTAAAACATACTTTACAGAAACCTTGATTTTTTAAAAATATAAACAACATATATCTAACATATTATAAAAGTCTCAGTAAGCTCTGTTAACTCTCTTGTAAGAAACTTATTAATATTATAAACATATTATAAACGTATTAGAGATAATTTATTCATCACCCGGGTGAATTATTGACACTGAAGAGGTGAAAAATATATTTATTTTAGGACTATTATATTATTAAAATATTGGAATTTTTTTATTTTATTCTGATATTTAGATTAATAACAGATTATTTTATACATAAAATTATATTGTATCTATATAACCAACATATTATTAGTAATTAAGTTACAAGAGAGTTAACAGAAAGAACAAAAATATAATTATTATATGATTAATATATAGAGGGGTGTTAGTAGAAACCAGGCAAATTGTTTTTAGTAAGTTTTTTTAAAACTTTAAATTAAAATATCTCAACAACTATTAAACTAAACTTGATAGATTTTTTTTTATTTTAATTCTATAACTAAATAGAATTAAAATAAAAAATTTTTATCTAATAGTTGTTGGGATATTTTAATTTAAAGTTTAAAAAAAATTTACTTAGAAACAATTTGTCTAGTTTCTACTGACACCCCCTATATATTCATAGTATATTTATTATATACTATTTTAGATCATATAATAATAATATTGTTAATATATAATAAATATATTGTAAATATATTTAGCAAAAAACATAGGTTTCTGTAAAGTAATAAATTATATGCAAACCACTCTTGTTATAGTAAAGGGTTGGGATATAAGATTTTTTTATTAAATTTACTATATTGAGAGGTTTTTTATATAAACTGGCTTTCATTATATTAGATGGTTCACTATAGCAAGAGTTCACTATAACAAGAGTGACTTGTAAAATAAAAATAAATTAGATTTAAAAAACTAGTATGCATAGTATAAAAAAATAAACTTTTAATATACAATTATAGATTATTAAATAGACATAATATATTGTATTTAAGTTGTCATATCCCCAGATAGCAGGTCTAGAGTTCAAATCTCACAGATGATATTTTCAAAAATAAGCTCTGTGATACAGTTAATAGCTATTACTAATCGGTTGGATTCTAATCTGTAATCTAGTCTGAGAATATACCAAATTTAGAAATCACGTTCTAGAAGGATCTACAAACAGGTTCGTGTATTTGATTAGTTATTACACTTTTTTTTATACACATATTTATGCTAAGGTTTTACAAGATTTTATCTATCTATTCATTGCTAAACAATATATAAAAAGATAGTAAAAGCAACAAATTTTAATAATTTTAAATAATTTTACATAGTAAGTTGTTCTTAAAAAGGTAAATAAAAATATAAATTTATGTTGTTTTTTGTATATTGTTAAATGAAAAGAAATAAAAAATATATACTAAATAGCTATTTAGATAGTTTAGTTTATTTTTAGAAACTTGCAAGTAAAGTATAAATAGAATAAAAAATATGTAGTTTAAATAATCTACAAGAATAAATATAGAGTGAAGAACAAACATAGAATGAACTTAGCATAATTGTTAAGATGAATATAGCATATTATAGTATAATAGTTGAAAGGTAGCAAAGTATATTATAATAGTTAGAACAAATATAATATAATATTGAAATGAATATAGCATAATAGTAGAATAATTCATATTTCTAACTAAACGAACTCTCCCCTGCAGATCCTTGTACCAAAATCGAGCTAAAGACAAACAGTCAAAAGATAGTAAAATACACTACTGAACAGTACTTTATAGACTAAGAGAAAAGAAGTATCAAAGAAAACCAACTAAAGTTTACTAGTACTTCTAGTCTATCTGCCAACTGGTTAAAGACATACAGCTAAAAAACTACTTTTTAGAAAAATTTTCTCTACAAAAGTGAAATTTGAGAAATTAGCTTTAACCTTGTAATATAAATCACTAAAAACAACAAACAATCACATAATGCACCTGCGATTAAAGTAAGCAAACAAACAACAACGTGAATATACATTACGTGCAAATAAGAATACCACCACTTATAGAATATAGAAATTTTTTCTCCAAGTCAAGAAAGGAGAAACTTGCACTTTATAATAAACAAGAGCCAACAATGCTAAAACAAGACAAATTCATAGTAGAGTATCTTGAAGCAAATAATATCTGCCTTATTGCAATTATTTGCACAGTTATCAAAAAATAT